CATAGTTCAGGGAGATTGAAGACAGCTGTGGATATGTCTACTGAAGAGAGTTAAAATAACTGTTTGCTCTTAGTTTGTAACTATAAGTTAGAAACTATGTTTTTGATAGTTGAGGTGGTTTTGGTCTTCGAGGTTTTTTTTAGCTGTGGATTTTTCTGAAGGGAAAAAAAAAAAGAATTTGAATCACTGGGTTATAATAGTTAATGTCTGTTTCTGGCTTTTTTAAAAAAGATACTTCCACTGGCTGTAAAAGACCCTCAGTTAATTTGGGATTATTGTAAAGAGTAATAGGAGACAATTTCAGAATTAGCACAGCACTGGTTAAAAACACTTTAAAATTGTGACTTCTACAAGGTTGTAGGCTGGGAGAGAACAGTCTAGAACATTTCTAGTCAGGGAGATTCCTTCACTTCTCTGGGAAACCTATTCCAATGCTTCATTTCTTCGTGGTAAAGACTTTTCTTACATGCAGGCGGAGTTTCCCTTGAAAAAAATAAAGCCTGTGGTGTCTTGTCCTGTCACCATGTGTCCTTGTGAAGAGAATATCCCCATCTTAACTATAACTGCCTTTTAGTCATTGGAAGACTGATTACATCTCTCATGAATCTTCTTTAGGCTGAATAAACCAAATTCCTTCATCTTTTCTTCATCTGTCAAGTTCTCTAACCATCTAATCATCTTGGTGACTCTCTGCTGGAACCTTTTGTGTTCTTCAGTAGCTGTTTTGAACTGGGGGGACCAAAGCTCTATACATTATTGCAGGTGTAGACTGACAAGAGTCCAGCAGAGTGTAAGAATCCCATCCCTAATCTGCTGGCTCTGGTCTTAGTCATGTAGCTCAGGATACAGTTTGCCTCCTTTACTGCAAGGATGACTTCTGATTATGCCCAAATGCAGTTAATTTACTGTTTAACCACAATAGTATTTCAGCATAAACTGATGGATCGTTCTGTTCCTGTTGTATGTCAACCTTGTTTCAGGAAGAATCTTCTTACTCTTTTGGCTTTTTTCTCTGTGAGCACAAAGGAATACTCTTTTTGTTGCAGTGCTCCTACTCTGCACTTTGCAGTTTAACAAGAGATTGAGTCATGCTTGCAATGTTTTTCGGTTGTGGATCCACCGGGGTGTTCCCCTGCCATCTTTTTTTCCCCTCTTTGTCATGGCTGTAGAATGGACTATAGAATTTAGTCTGTGTGATCATGTAAAATGTTGTATTCTTATGCTCTGTCTCTAGAAAAAGTGTTAGAAATTTTGAACTCTGTTTTTTAATTCCTCTTTGGAAAGTGTCTTCCACAGATCTTTTTATGACAACAGCCTATTGCTTAATTCCTTTTGTTAGAACTACCTTTTTTTTTAAATATCTCCCAAATACTAGATTACTTCACTCCCATCCTAAGTATTAAACATCAATAGACAAGGGCTGAGCAATCTCCTAGTTCACCTGTCTCTACAAAGGCTTATTCCTCAGCTGACAATTTATCTGAAAGTATGTCCTTCAGTTGCTTTAATGCTTTGTGGTCTGCAATGGCTTGAAGAATTTCAGACTAGATTCCAGCAGAATCCTCTTAATAGAGCCAATTACTTAATAAAAGCAGTAACAAGAAATTATGTCAGAGATTTTAGGCTGATGCACCGTTTACCGTCAATTCTTTGAGAATAAGAGCTTAATGCAAGATTGATTTCATTATATTGACAAGCTTTTTCAAGAAACCACAAGTAGTTAAAAGCATTTGGGAAATAAAATTATGCTGTATTTAAATGTGCCAGTTATGTGCTCAAAGCCCTACATAAAAAATTAATTTTTCAGTTTAAATGGCAATCTGTCCAGTTTATAGGTTTGTTTTTTAGTGTCTGACCAATATTATACTTTTTTAGTCTGAGAAGTAATAATTCATAAGGCTCAGAGCAATTGGAAACAGAAACCAGTCCCTTTTAATTGTTTCCTTCCGTTGTATTTAATTCAGCTTCTCTGGATACATTAAGATTCTTGGATGATGGGTTTGTTTTCTGCTTGTTGTCCTAATAATAAAAGCTGGACCCTACAGGAAGATTTAGAAAAATCGGGCATTCCAAGTGCTTTTTGAGAGTCAACCAACCTTGTAGGTGAACTTTAAGTGGCACGTTTTTCCAGTGCTTAAATTCAAAATGCAACATTCTATGGATGCTACTAATATTTAAAATGAAATTTTTAGTTTATGCAACTCTAAAGCTTAAGGGAAGATGCCTTTCTCTTGCTTTAATTTCAATTGCCATTTTCAGCACAACTTTATCCATTTTTTCCTGCTCACAGGTTGGGGTGAGGGAATATACTTAGGAAATTATTAGAATGTCTCTTGATTTTGGAGGTGGGCACTCTTGGTTTTTAAGTCATGTGCAGAGTTCTGCCTTCAGCCTCAGCTGTTCCATGCATCTGTTTCCTAGTGCATCCAGACTGTTTTGATGGCCCATAATTTCCTCCTTCAGGTATTCTGAGCACAAGTCTTCTTTCTTTCTTCATCCACATTGTCAGACCTCAAGTGTAGGTTCTGATATCTCATACACATCACTGCAGTGTGCAGTTCTCTGATT